CACACACACACACACACACACACACACACACACACACACACACACACACACACACACACACACACACACACAGCCCCACCTGGACCCCATGAGTTGCGCGCTATCCAGAACTGGTTGACATTGTCATACCTGCCAGGTTGGCAGCAGAGTGCCCGTGAGAGCTGCACCCCCATTGAGGCACACGGAGGTGCGGGGAGCGAGATACAGAAACATACCCAGTCACCAGGATGTGCAGCCAACGCCACAAAGAAGGCCTCAACACGACCCGCCAAGCAGCCGCGCGCCGCACCCGACCAGGGTGATGGCGTGGCCCTCAATAGTCGTGCTGCCGGGTGAGGGGCGGTAGACAGCCCTAGCTCGGGTGTAGTCCTTGAAAAAGGGCTTGAAATCGCTGTTTCGGGCCATCGCAGAAGAAACAACATGCAACAGCATGCACGTCGGGGTGAGCGCTGTACTGTGCTCTGCTGTGCTGCACAACGCATGCATGCCAGGCAGCCACATGCTCATTTACGCAACGCATTGCAGCACACATCCGCACAACCCGACTTCACCTGTAATGGTCAAAGCGTGTGACCTGAACATCGGCGCAGAGCACGCAGATAGGGTGGGTGGTGGCAGCGTAAGCGCATGCCTGGCAGCGGTCAGGCGACAACAAACACAACTACGCTGTGATAACAATGCCACTCTACAACATGTGACACAGTTTGCAACTCCGCACACGTTGTGTGTTTCTGTTTTAAGGGAGCTCTGTAGAACCAAGAAGAAAGCCGTCGCGACACCCGCCCCTCGACCAACACTCACTCAACTCCTCCTTCGCTCCCACATGCAAACATGCACGTACACCACGCACCCTAAAGTCGCTCCACGTGCACACATGCGTGCACATCATCATGCTCACCACGGCGCCGTACTTGCGGATGTGCTGCTGCGCCTTCCACAGTTGCGTGATGCGCACGAAACTGAACATACCCTGGGAGGCCAGGGGGCTGGTGTTGGCGCACGACCTCGCGCAGAGCTGCTGCTGCGTCGCGTCCCCCCTCATGTCGGGCGGCTGGTAGCGAAGGCAGTCCTCCAGCAGCAGCTGCCTCTTCTCCAGCTGCGCCAGTGTGTCCTTCAGCGTAGCCCCTGTGTCGCAGCTGAGCCGGTCGTTGCCGCAGTAGTGGAGGTCCTGCGGGGACAGCCGGCCAACGCTGTCCACGTCCTGGCCCAGGGCACTCGCGACCGCGGCCTGCACGCGACGGCCCCGCGGCCACAAGCGGAGCCGCGGCGAGCAAGGAGGCAGTGGGGTGCGTGCCGCATTTGAAGAAGTGAGATGTGGGTTGGTAACAAAAAAGAAAGGTGCAACAGAGTTCACAGGCACCAGTCCCGCACCTACAGGCCACAGCCTGGTGGAATTTGTGGAAATTTGTGGCAACGTGTTGAGCCGGCCAGCATGCGACAGTTGCGTCGCCCTCGCACCTCAGCGGCCGTGACGGCGACAAACGCCGTGCAGGTCAAGCACGCGCCCTGGTCTCGCGGGGGCGAGATGACACGATTGGGACCAACGTCGCGCGATTCGAGGGCGCTGTAGGTGGCGGGCGAAGTCGAAAGCATTAGCGTGGCGAGCTTCTCAGCGTCTGCGTGGGTGGTGGCAGCACCGTCGGCGACGAAAATGGCGGTCAGTGCCAGTGAAGCAGATTATCATGGGTCAGCTGGCTCGGGGGCGGCCGTCAGTCCATCGCCACCCCCGTTCCGGGCACGCCCGCGCCACGGCTGCTGCTTGGAGGTAGGGCGCATGCATGCGAGCTGCTGCAGGAGCAATGCCATGCCCCACCTTCCGCAACAATCGAAGAGCAGAGGGAGTCCTTTGACAAGCCCACGCAGGCAGTCCTCGGAGCCGCCTTGAGGGCCTGCTGCCAATCTTTGGCCCCGCTCCACTGCTTGGCGAAGGAGGCGTAGGCGTCAGCGAGCACGCTCCCGGGTGTGCGGCCTGCCCCCAATGGCTCGTCGCTTGGCACGAGGCCCTGGCCTGCCGGCCACCAGCATGGCATTAACAAATCAGTTGAGTGGTTCGGCTTGCGTCGGGTCAAGGAAGCCTGCTGACGGGTTGCAGCGAGCTCCCTCGCTCATCAGCGAGGAGGCACAGCCACCCCAGGATGCGATCAAAGTCACCATGCAGGCTGCACAGGGTAGGGGGACCAGCACGTGGCAGGGTAGACACCGCCCATGACCATGCCGCTGGTGAGCTGCTGCCAAGTGCGCATGCCACACTGTCCTGCGCATGCACATGTATGGCCGCAGCGCGTGTGTCGGCCGCGCGGCTGCACACCTGCGACCGCCGCAACCAGCAACGCCAGCACCAGGCTGCCGCAAGTCATGACGTTGTGCCAGCCCGGGCGCCGTCTCTGGGACGATCGCCCCAGGAGGCCTCCTAGCACCGGCCGAGTGGCTGCCATCGACCACACTTGCACCGATCTGCGTTATTGGGGATCCGCAGGACCTGTTTGCACCGACCGTGGTTTGTGATGCGATTTCACAGTGACAATTTGCAGGGGTCGCGACGCCTCAGCGGGTCTGGGACGATTCTGGGGGGGTCACCCGCAGCGAGGATGAGTGCCCGCGCCTTTCGGAGTGACACGAGCACTGTGGGCGGTAGCTGACGACCGCTGAACATGATGTATCTACGGTGGTGACCACTCTAGGCGCCCTACGGTACGGTGATCGAACCCTCGTCAATGCATGCATGCAGGGACGGATTTCATTTATATCACAGAAGTTGCATGCATGCAGTGAGGAGCACGCCGTTACCCTGTGGTGACTGGAGGAGCCCAGCACTGCCCGCGGATGCGCTGCACACGCTCGCGCCGTGAACTGGGCGCACTGCCGGCGGGAATCCACTCTTGTCCGTGGTCCTATACGGTGAATTCACCCAGAGTGCGTCCCATGCGACCAAATCAATGCCCACACAAGGTTCCCGTCTTTTTAAGGGAATGAATACCCACTTATCAAATGTTGCATGCAGCAGTGTGACGACCGATGGACAGTTTAATTGGTTGTCAAGCAGCTCGGGTTGCGATCATGCAGTGCCGTACGACGTCCCGATGCCCCCTTTGAGCCATGCGGCCGCCGCTGCACTCACACTGAAAGGGCGAGTGGCGTGCAACCAAGCGGTGGGACGCCCAGCAGCGCCTGTCCGCCCCCTTCATCTGGAAGAACTTGAGCCAGGATACACATACAGCCACCATGGCCAAGGCTGGCGCGGCTGCCGGCTTGATAGTGAGCAGCCCTGCTGACACTGTGGGTCAGCCGCACGCGCGAAGCTGCCATCCACAGGCAGGCGCGAACATCAGACTGGCGCGCAAACAGCAGAATGGTGGCTGTGGTTGCACGTCAGGCGTGCAATGAACCTGCTGCTGGGCCGTGTGGAAGAGGACAGCCCGGCTGCCAGAGATTGTCCGTCCGCCAGCCAGCTGTACGTACCGCGTGCATCTGGTGACCCACGCAGCTTGGTCAGGAGGGGGGGAGGGGCGCAGGTGACTCGCTCGACCCCGCGTCTGTCCTGTGCGTGGCCGCCATGGCATGCCGCTGCCGTGCATCCGCCCGAGGTGCGTGCAACGAGCCTGAGGCGCGTCACCGCCTGCTGCGGCGCCGCACCACTACAGTATCCCCCTGCACACCAGGCTCGCGTCACAGCTCAAGGCTGTGACTCGTGATGTGTTAGTCATCCCGCAAGGTTGCCGCTATTGCCATTGGCCTCCCTAGCCTTTGCGTGGCTGGTTGGCCGTCAAAATCAGGTCGGCTGCCGTGTGTTCACGCAACTGGTGGGGTAACATGTGCAGTACTGCCAGCCCAACCCAGGTGGCGGCCCAGCACGTGCACGTCGGCCGATGCTCTGCCGACGCCTCTGTCCGACAGAGACTTGCAGTTGCGAACGCTGTGCGCCGAGCACAGCAAGCTGGCTGTCCCACGCGCACACGAAGCTTAGGGTAACGTGACGCGCCTGAAGCTGCGACAGTCGAGGGGTGCTGATGTGGTGCTGACTGTGCCCACGCAAAGCTGTCTCATTTTACTCGACATATAGTTTATGAACATGCAGCTTTGGAGCCCGCAAGCAGCAGTTTGCACAGTCGGCCCCAAACGCCTCCCGCACCACCTCAGCGTCAGGCCCCACGCGGCGCTTGTGGTAAACGGGGCACATCCAGGCCACCAGCAATGCAAAGGGCGCGGAGTAGCCCGCCAGGTAGTGGCCGCAAAAGAGGAGCACTTCGGAGCTGTTCACATGTAGAAAGCGCAACAGCCCAGGGTAGGAGGGGGAAGGGGGCAGCAGGGCACACGTGGGTTCACTTGTGCAGGGGTCCTTCGCAAAGGGAGCTCCTTGAGGCTGGTACAAAGGGTGTTTGTTGTGAGAGCTGGCAACCAGCCAAAACGTCGCCTGACAGGCGGTGATGATTGCACACCAAAGGCACTGCTTCACAGGCGTCCATCCCTCTAAGCTGTTGATGCTCCTGGCGTGCGCGCGGGGAGCAGCGGGCGCCGACGCCGGCGTGTGCTGGCGCCTGCCGAAGCCAGCGGCGCGATGCTCACGGCCACGAGCCGTCCAACGCCCACCTGTACCGGCTTGAAAGGCCACGTTATCACCAGCCGCCCAGGCGCCAGCACTCCGTCGCACACCGACCCAAGGGCGTCCGCGGCCGACCAATCGAGGCTGATTGCTGCTGTGATGCAGGGCCCCCGATTGATCGTACACAGTGAGCCCAGCTGCCTCTGCCGCACGGTCAAGCGGCGGCGGCGGCGCCGCTGTCGCGATCAGGTGGCGCTGCGGCGGCCGGCAGTGGACGGCGGGCATAATGGCTGTAAAGGCCAGTGATGATGCGGCCCGCGCGGCGCCGCAGCGCCGGCTGCATGTCATGGTGGGCGGGCGCGAGTGGGCCATAGCGCGGGACGCGGCGCACGGAGCCACCGGCGATAAAGACAAAGCAGGTGGCAAACACGAGCCGCACGCAGGGTGGCGAGTTACCGCCAGGGCCCAGCACGGCGGGAGCAAGGTTCAGGGCGGCCAGAAGGGTGGCCAGCTGCAGCGCCTGCCGCCGGGCGGCGCGCGCCCACTCCCTCAAGCGGCGCCAGGCGCCGGTTCCCGCGGCGGCCCGGCTGCTGCTGCTGCTGCTGCTGCTCGCTGCTGCTGCTAAGCTGGGAGCAGCGGGCGGCGGCCTCGCCAGCCAACACGACTGGCGACATGGTCCAGCCTGTGTGCGCGCTGCTCCACCAGCCAGTGACCGCCTGCAGCTGCAGCTGCCACACAGCTTCCCACTGCTCGGGCATATGCTGCGCGGAGGGCACCACATCAATCAGCGGCTCTTCGCCCTCCGACACGCGGCGCACCAGCAGCGCTGCGCGGGGACCTAGGGAGCAGCAGCGGGGCGGGGGGCGGCGGCGTCGGGCGAGTGCAATGTTGCAGCCCGCGGCGGATGGCGATTGGCGTGCCTTGATTTGAGGTCCCGAGCAAGAAGCGCAAAGCCGGCCGCCCGCTCGCAGCGTTCAGCCCGAGCCCGCGCGGGCCAGGGCTGCCCCTGGACCCCGCCGGCCCGGCCCGGTGTCGAGCGCAGCTGCTTCCCGGTTTCCCCCCAGCTTCCTTGCAGCTGCTCACCCACAGGGAGCTCCAGCTCAACCATTGCCAGGCGGGACAAGAACAGCAGGCCTACCTAGGGCCATCGTCCTGTGTGCGTGTTTGCGTTTGTGCTCGTTGTGAGTGTGGGAGGGCGAGTGGAGCAGAGAGGGAAGGGAATGCGCAGGGTGCGCGGGTGAAACCCGCTGGTGCCGCCACGCGCCGCGGCCAGGCTTTCAAGAGCAGCCCACGGGCGCCGCCAGAGCCCGCCGCTCCCTACAAACAATACGAACCCCCCTCTTCTGACAACCACAATTAGCTT